GATATCCAAATTTATGATATCGGTATTGGTATCGGACATAAAAAAGTGGTATGTGCCATGTCTAATAATTACCTTGAAAAAGGAACTTCAGCAGGCCGGGGTGTGTCTTGTGACTTTATAATTTTTATGTCATCTTGACAAAATTAGTGTACACAGTTTAATGATGATGGATGTATAAACACCACATACTGCACAAATGTATGCACATTTTATGTGTTTTTATTTGATGTAGGTTTGGGAGAGAGCAGGGGTGGAAGGTGAGGGGGGGAGTGTTTTTACTACTGCTGCATATTACTGTGAAAACAAATCTTTGTATGCTGCTGCAAAAACAACAAAAATATTGTAAAAAAAAAAGATGATGGATGTGCCGCGATCTTGGCCGTGTGACCTTGTTAAAAGATGACGGAGAGAGAAAGAAGCAGAAGATTTTTCACTAGGCAGTTAATTTTAACAGCAGCTCGTTAGAGGTGCATGAAAAGTCACTGATTCTAATAACGGCAAGAATGAGGTGAAGTGAAGTGTGATGATCAGTGCTCAGTGTGAAACAGAAGCCTTGTACTCGAGCTAAGATGGCAGATATTTTTCATATTTACAAAAAAACAAATACTTCCAATATCCAGACACTTAAATATCTGGGTACAGCACACCTGAGGAGTCCTTGTTAGCAAATATAAGTTGTGAAGTGAATCAAAAAGAGAATTACAGATAATTTGTTTTTTTCATTGCTGTTTATAGCGCTCAATACTGTGTTTGATCCTGGCTCTTTATGTACTGCTAATGTGCAGTTTTATGCTTTTTTTTTCCCTTTTAGCCTTTAGTGTTGGACCAAGACTGTATGACACTAAGCTCCAGAGACCTGAGACTGGAGAAGCGCACATTGTTTAGGTATGAACAACCGATCAGTGTTCCCTTGAGTCTGTTAATCGCCTTCAGTTTCTCATTTTGCGTTTCTGCTTTCATTGCTGTCACATTTACTTTGATGCTCTCGCCTCACTGGTAGGTTGGATCTGGTGCCCATTAACCGCTCCGTGGGGCTGAAAGCCAAGCCGACCAAGCCAGTCACTGAGGTCCTGCGGCCCGTGGTGGCCAAATATGGTCTCCACCTCGCTGATCTTGTGGCCAAAATAGTAAGTTGTCTCCAGTGCCTTAATCCTTTTGAAGCTCCCGTGTGTCCAGACAGCAGCCTGTGTAGTGTGTGACTGTGCCACAGGGTGGAGTATCATGGTTAGGGGGGTAAAACGACCGCATCCTTTTCCATCTCTACACAGTGGTTAGCACTCTGACTCAGCCCAGCCTGCTAAGACGAAACACCGGGGCTATAATTAAGAATGACGACACTCCTCAAACATGCCGACTCTCTACTCCTCCCCCTAAACCCCTGTCAGATTTATTTTAGTCCTGTGGGTTTCCAAGCATTATAACTGTATTATACAGTAGACCAGAGCTGAAAGGTGATTTATAAACTAAGCAAAGGAACACGCGCGGCAGCAGTATTTAGATTTCTGCACAACAGGTGAGGATACTAACATGTTGACCTTCAAATTGTATTTTATAATAGAGCGGCGAGACTGAGCCTCTGGATCTGGGTGCCCCCATATCGAGTCTGGACGGCCTGCGAGTTGTGCTGGAGCGAGCAGATCCCTGTTCAGTCAAAGGTAGAATGGAAAAAAACAAAACTGGTTTGTCCTTTCTCATCAAGGCACCAGAAAAATGTAAATCACGCCCACCTCAGTCATCCTGCTGATTAACGTGTACGAGTTTTTGCAAGACGTCTCTCTCATTACGCCTCAAGCACCCTCTCCTCCCCTCTCTGTCTCACGCTCTTCCTCATCAGTTTCTCACCCCGATGACTTTTTCATGTACACATCTCTCTGTTTCTCTCTCTCTCTCTCTCAAATAGACAAATCCAAGTCTTCCTCCTTAAAAAGTCACCCAACCCGGAGTTTTTCTGCGACAGTGAGTACTCGTCACATCTTTATTCTCACACAATGATAAAAAGAGTGGTGTTTTTGTCTTTTTCTGCTGCTGCTTCTGCAACATCATTTAATAACATTATTAACACTGAGCCAATGCTAAGCTACCAGTTGGTGTTTACTTCCTTTTTTTTATATTATTATTACTGTTATTTTGGGGTCTTCCTCTCCCTAACACTGCCTATGGCTGACTCACTCGCTCCTGTTTTCTCCGCTCGAGTTATTGCACCATATGAAGGCAGATCCTGCTTAGTCTGGATTCTATCAGGGTCCTTAAAGACACACAGCCGACAGATAGACCAAGCTCATCTTTACCTGAAGGTCTCAGTAAATCTGGACAAACTGCTCAGTAGGGTGCTTAGCAGCTCGTGCTTAGCTTCGCCCCCATCCCACCCCACCCCTTACGACCTCCCCACACACCACATCGTCCCTCCATCCCCTTAATAGAGTGCCTTGTTATTGTTGAATCTGCAGGGAGATGAGAGGTCAGCACCAAAGGACTTTTCTGTGAGGCCAAGTGGACCAGACTCAGCACTCCCAAGGGATAAGAGAAAACAGAAAAAGATTAATATAGATGAAGCTGAAGGTAAATCCCCCTTTTTCTCCTTATTTGTCTTTCTTTCTTTTCTTTTTTTCAACTTGTGGTGGAATTCTTAGCTTTGCTTTGCCTTTAAGACTAACTCGTGTCTTTGTTAGTTCCACGAGGGTTCTTTTCTCTTAAGAGGAGCGAGGTTGCTCTGCTGCACGTCACACCCAGCTAATCCTTTTCTCGCGTGTGTTTGGAAACTTTCAAGTGAGGAAATGTGCTTGAACTGTTTTCCAGAATTCTTTGAGCTGCTGAGCCGGGCGCAGAGCACCCGAGCCAACGACCAGCGTGGTCTCCTGAACAAAGACGACCTAGTGCTTCCCGACTTCCTGCGACTGACTCCGCCCACTTCCTCTGTCTCCGTGTCCTCCAACCTGGCCTGCTCCACCCCCAACTCCCTGAAGCCGGTTCGAGAGAATGGCATTCCCTCCCGGAGCCCCCTCACTTCCAGCCTACGCTCGGAGAGCCTCGACTCCTCTCTTAGCTCCAGTGCGAACGGACACTCCAGGCGGTGCCTCATGCCCCCTCCACGCCACCCAACCTTCGGCACTCACATGTCCCCCATCCTCCGGCCCTCAGACACCCGTCCAACCCTCCGCACTGTGGAGGAGGACGCCAACACCGACCTGACTCTCATCGGTGAAGGCGACATCAGCAGCCCCACCCTGCTGCCTCCTTCACCATCCCCTGTGTCGTCCTTCGATAGCAGCCTGCCGGCAGCCAACTTCACCCCGCCACCGCCCTGCTCCCAGGCTAAAGACACGGGTGAAGAGGGAAAGTCCAGTTCAGGTATTTCTACAGTGTAACAACCTAACACTCGGTGTGTTTGCGTGTGTGCTTGTGCGTGTGTGTGTTGTACATGCATGTGTGTGGTCAGGAACAGGACCACTTTGACAATAAAACTCCCTCTACACTGACTCTGATGCACTTTAACGACAAATTGATATCGACTCTTTCTCAGTTTGCCTGATTCGTCTTTATCAAGCTCAGCAAAGCATGTGTGTGATTGATCATGATGATTACACTACTCAAGATTGATCTGTAAATAACGACCTGTGTATTTTGTTCCGTGAGTAACGTTTACTTGTACATCACCTCCCTCGCCACAAATTGTTGAGTTGAACATGTGACTGACATAAGCGGATTTCCAGTGATATATTTTGTCCTTTTGGGTGCATGCAAAATGTGACTGATTGCAGATCTGTTGAATATCAATGAAATATACACAATGCGTAGAGATTAATGATCAATATTTGACAGTTATGTGGACGCTAGATGTTGTACCGAAGATTAGAAATCAGAGGAGAAAAAAAAAGATCAGCTTTCATGTACAAAAAAAAGAAAAATGAGCAAGACTGCTGCACAGTGTTGGACCTGCAAATACCTAACAGTCGGTACATATAAATGCTGTATCCCTATCCATCCCACCTCCTCTAGTTAAGAGCAATTCAACAATGTCCGTGTCAAAAAGCTAGATTTTTTTTCATTCTCTTTTTACGCAATGCTACAAATCCGGTGAGCCATTAAACAGCTCATGCTGTAGCAGTTTGAGCAACGGTGAAAAATTATTAGTCATTGGAGGACAAGTGCTCCTTGGCGCTGGTGACATTGTTGAAGTGCCTGTCATTCTTTACCAGGCTCATTCGCTCTCTAGGTGCCTGTTTGTAGATAATCACTGCCAATAATCTCTGTACCTGTGATTGAATAGATCTAATAAATGTTAGAATTGGAAATCACTCTCGTCTGTCTTTTTACACGTTTGTCAGATCAGTCCCTCCCCCCCACTCCTCCCCTCTCTCCCCGCCACCCGCCGCTTGTCCTCTCCACCTCCACATGCCTCCTTCCGTTCTCTCTTAGCTTTTTTTTTTGTTTAATTTGTTTTTTCTTTTTCTGTTTTTTGTTGTTGTTCTTGTCTAGTGGCTTCCTCCTCTCATCAGCTCCCACTCCTCCGTGTCCTTCCTCGTGCGCGCTCATTTCACAGTGTCACTGCTCGCTGGGTGTCTTTATTTTTTTTACTCCTAAGATCTCTCGGTGTGTGTTTATTCGGTGTCGTTGCTCAGCCGACCTGCTTCTTGTTGTTGCTGTTGTTGATGACATAACACATATTGCTTTTATTTCTTTAAATTGAGCCACTGCTGTTCGCGCGCGCGTGTGTGTGTGTGGGTTCCGCATTGGGTTTGCAAAGCTTTGCCTCGGCATTGGTTCATCGTGCTCTGAGTGCATGGCCATCTCTCGCACACATTTCCCGCCTTTATGTGTTTTTTTTTTTCCCGCTCCTCCGTGCATATGTGTGTGTTGTCTGTGATGCTATGTGAAGTGAAGTAGTGATTTGATCTGTGACAGTGTTGCTTTGATATCCTACATGTGATGATCGCGGCTTCGAGTTGAAGCCTTTCCTGACACGCTGTGAAGTCGTCAGAAAAGAAGATAACCACACTCCTGTGTTCCAGCTACAGAGCAGCTCCGGCTGCTCTTTTTGATGCACCTCAAAGCACTTTTTTAAAGGGGCACAAACATGACCTTATTGCCTTGTCTTCATATCTACGCTTTTAATGCAAAGCAGGGCTTACACACACAAGACGAGGAGGATAAATCGAAGCTTTTTCAGCTTTCATACAGCCTCATTCCTCTTTTCTGGTTGCTAAGCACATCAGGCTGATTCTTCCCACCACCGGGCGCCATGGTAACCTTATCCACGAGTTGTCTGAGCTACAGAGAGAAACTGTCACTACTGGTTTTCATCTATCTCCCTGCCTCTTTCTCTCCGTTTCTCTTTTCTCTCGCTTGCTAAAACGGGAGCAGAGCAGTGATTCGGTATGGCCACGCTTTTAGCGCAGTTTGCCACCTTGGTATCACCGAGGCTGTGCTGGGATCTGTACAGCGAGCTAAAACGCCTCCACTTTCTCACTTTCTCACTTTTTGGACTTTATGAAGTTGTTACATTTGAGTTTGGGTGGAAAGTTAAGCTCGCTGGCTTTCTTTAGTTTAAGACAAAGTAAACCACCCACAGAGTACAGTTGCATCTTTAATTCCAACTGCAGCGAAGCCAATGTTGTGCAGTAGCAGCGTTCCTCTTCTTTTATCTGTCATCCTGCTGACTTCAGGCACTGCAGAGATGTCTCCTCGCTTTCTGTATTACTGTTAGACTGACGCCCTCTGCTGTTCCGAGAGAATAAGAATACAGTAATTGCTGCTTTGGTAGCTCGACATGGATCTCATTTTAATGCCATGCAGAAAGTCAAAGACATCCTTTCTACAGCAGCAGAAGTGCATCACGCGGTACCATTTTTCACATTTCCTCTAATTCTACTGGAAAGTCACCAGTGTGCACACATGACAGTTACACAAATATCTTGAACTGCATATGGTTTGAATCCAAAAGAAGGCTAAAGTTCTTCAGTGATCTGAAACTTTTAGTACCTTTAATGGGCACATCGGACTAAATTAAAGCCCTAATTAAACTATAAAAGACAAAACCAGAAAGGAGAACCAGGGCTGAACTTGATGCTCCCTCTTACTCCACGGCTCTGTGGGGAATAGAATGCCCACTAGGGGGCGACATTACACAGTGTATCTCTACACAGCACTGATTCAGACTCAATTTAAAGTGTGTTTAGTTAAGTCAACAATAATGCTGCCCTCTTCATAAACAAGAACAGGCGGCCATCTTTGTCTGAATACTAAGCAATAAATTACAGAAGTGAATAATTCAGCAAGTTCACGACAAGAGCTTGTTTGTCCTGAGTTTTCTTTTTCTTCTTATACACTTATGCTGAGGGAAGATTAAAGGATTCCTTGGGGTAATTGAGACTCTATCTCAGGGCATTACAAAGTGCTTTGTAATGACTCGATTTCAGCTGCCTGCACCTGAGGCACCATGCCACTGAGCTGTCCTTCAAGCCCGCTTCACCCGTTTCTTCATCTTCTGTCCTCGAAGCAGACAGCTGCTGATCCCCGGGCCTGCCTTAGCATCCATCTGGCGGTCAGAGGAGGGCTTTATGTGGATCTTTTGCAGGGAGACTAAGTGAGGACTGGAGCTGGTTCCGTTCTGTTCTGGCTGCTCGAGCTCAGCGTCCTGCTGCCGCCATGGCTGCTGAAAGGAGTTGCCACAGGAGGAATGGCCATGTTAAACAGTTGTGCCTCATTATCACATCGTGCAGACCAATCAGCAAGCACACTACTGAATCCATGCATGAGAAGCGTGTATGTGTAAATGGTAGAAGTGCACACACCAGGTCCAGAAATTACATTTGAGTAATGGCTACATGAGTTTGATCTCCCATGACTAAGCAAAGTAAAGCTTACGTTATAAGCAAAAACCATATTTAAACCCTATCTTGTAGGTTTATTGTGAGTAATATTAAAAGGTTTACCATATCAGTACAAAGCCAGGTGGCTCAGTCAGTGGTCTTTAACGAACTGCGATATTAACAACCTCACTGTGGGAGTGGGGGCTGAGAACAGAGAAGCCTTTCCCAAATTTTCTACTTTGTGACTAGAGCTAAAACAAACTGCGACTTCATTATTCTTTTGACATGAATTAATTTTTATAGTTGATTAATTGTTCCAGCCAGGCTAAACTTTATCTGTAGGTGTGAGGGTTTGCTGCGTTCCTCTTCTGTGATTGCGGACTGAATTACCCCCAAATTATTTTGTACCAACAGAATAAGACTTTAATTAAAGGTAGGGTTTGTGAAAACCTATGTCTTCACTATTTTCTCTCACATTCTATAGATTGCGTAAAATAGCCATTAACTATTATTTAATAATCGGCCTGAACATAATCCACTTGTATTGCCCTATTAGCAAGCAAAGCAAAATTCAAGTAACACTAGAAATGCTTTGTAAGCAAAATGAGGTAAAACCAGCAAACGCGAGTGCTGGAAACTATTACACAACCGGAAAAGTACTTATAGGTTTTCTCCCTCACCCCCCAAGTATGATTGTTCAAGCTGTTGCAGGATAGATAGGTTTGCTGGGTCTACATAAGGTCAGCTGTTGGAGCTCACTGACAGTGTTTACATATATATCGGACAGCAACGAATAACAGCCAGTCGAGTTCAGAGCATCTGTGTGTTGAAGTGTAGTGCTTATGTCCGTGTGTTTACAGTCTCTGGAGGCCACATGGTTCACATGAGATGTGGAAAGTTTATCACCCATAGCTGTAACACCAGCATCAAAAAGAAACGCTGGCTTTGTGGCTTCTTGAGTGCGCTTGCATTAGCGAAGAGAGGGGAAGTTTGAGCATGTTTTATTTATTATCCTGTAGGGGTCTTGCGATGAAGTCATGCATCTCTGGGGTTAAAGGAAATAAAGACAGTAATGTTCAGATGTGTCGCATCAGATTTTATTGCACTAAATTACTGTACAGCATATAATCCTGTCAGTTTTTAGTCCGATCTTTCTGACGAACCAGCTATAAAGTTGAGCAAGTTTAAGCAGAAGTGGTTATGTCATCAAGTCTATCATGACAACAGCTGGGATGATTACACAACTATAGAATGCTTAAAATATAAAAAAACAAGCCCACTATTCAACTTAAAATCAAGCAAAGTGGAGTTAAAATGTGCACTCGCACGGTGTGACAGATTTTGCTTGAGTGCTTTTGAAATCTGGCATTGCCGTGCTAAACATCTGGCCGTCAGCCAGTGTAATAAGAGGTAAAAGAGATGTGAAGGCCAAGAATGAATAGTTTTGCACATCTGTGCAGTCACTCCTGTGTAAATGAACATTTTTGGAAACCACATTGATTATCTAAAGCTGCAGTCAGTGTTTCTGTTAAACAACAGATCAACATATAAAGTAGAAGGTAAGAGGAGCTGCACTGAGCCCGGTGTAAACGGACTGTAACAAAAAGATGGAAGTAGCTACCCAGACAAAACAAATTATCAAGTAATTGAATATTGGTTAACACCGGCAAGCATGGTTGTCAAGCTGCGAAACTGCACAAAATGTGTGGCTGCACATCGCGCTAATTAGATAGCTGCTAATTAGATAGCTGCTAATTAGTGCTAACATATAAGTTAATACTTGAAATTTACCCACCGAAAATGGAGTGCAGTGTTTTCAGGCCGGCTGTTTGTACATTATTTGTCAAAAAATCAAAAAAACAAAATGAAATGCTGTCAGGAAGAAGAAATTAGCTGAGACCAAATTGTTTAACATGGCAGTCTCTGGGGATTGGAGTCAGCTCCAAGTGGCCATTAATGGAACTGCGGTTTTTTAGCACTTCCTGCATTGACTTCAGAAAGAGGGTGTAGCTTACAGAGTAGTAGGATTTCTCAAGCGTGATTATACCTTCTGCTTGGATCAGACAGAGTGATGGTCCGTGTGGACATCCATGTGTCTCCCTTTTTTTTTCTTTTTCTTTTTTTTTTTTGTGGCTCATCCATCTACTGCTAACTACACGTGCGCCTGAGGCAGTGGACTTCAAAGAAGTATGATTACTTGGCTGTTGGGTCTGCTTATTCATTTCCCAACACCATCCTGCATATAACGTTAGAAAACTATTCCCCAGGATCTTTTGTTGGTGGACTTGGTGGACATGAGCGCTCACACTAGAAGCAATTTGCCTATTGGCTGCTTTTTAGTTGACGGGTGATCACTGGTGGACATTCCAGGCGTTGGTTGCTTGTCCTTCATTCTTATTGGTAATCTCACACCTCAAAGTTGAGAAAGCTTTAACTTGGCATCTACCTACTTTTTGCATTCACTAGCAGAAATTTTGCTCTCTGTCGCTTACAGTTACTGAATGTCACTTTTGGTGGTCTGTGGTTGCCATGTTGGTGCTAGTAACTTCCTGGGTGGACAGCCCTTTAAAGTACAGTGAATGGTTCCTTACGATGTTATATAATTTGAATGCAGAATGGGCCATCCCACCCATCATCTGCAATATCCAAGTATCTCTTGGATGTCCATTATAAATCAATTTATCTTATATCTTCCATGTTTTGCTTTGTTTTTCTCTCCCTTGCACAGAGGCGACAGAAACGATCCCTAATGCCAAGTCACCTCCTAAAAAAGCCAACGCTGCACATACCATTCAGGAGGTGATGGATGTGGAGGGAGTACATCTAGAAGAAGGAACAGCGGAGACATCCCAGGGTGAGGACTCTGAGTTGAGTCTGAGTTTTCAGGGCTATGTCGCCGAGCTGCGACAGTGCCAGAGCAAAATGAGAAACGCCCAGATGCCCCAGAACGGCCGCAACCCACCGGAGGGCCAGGACTGCAACACAGATCTTTACAAGGCCACCATCGTCTAAAGGGACCCCCCCTCCCCCCCATCCCCACTGCTGCACTTTTAAAGCCTGAGCGACTGTTGTTTGAGGAGATGTAGTCGAACAATGTGCTGCATGTACAAGTTGTCAGTTTTCTTTACTAAAGCATCAATATTATGGTGATGGATATTGTATATTTGTTTAAAAAAAGTTCAGGCATCCTGTTGACTTCTAGTACCGGTTGTAATTTTGGGACAGTGATATGTTTTGTTATTGGTATGCTTTGATAATTAACTATTTTGAGCCATGTTAGGCTAAATAATAATACCACAGAAGAAGCCTGAAACTCACTTTGGGGTACCAGTTGATAATAATTGTACACAATTTAAAAAGTAGAAATGACTGAGAAACAGGACACTGCTTGATAAGAAGCTGCTTAACATCTTCTAAACAAAAAAACAATGTAATAACCGGCAGCCTTCTGGTGGTGGAAGCCAAAAAGTTAAAGCTCAGGAAAACGCTTGTTCAGGTTCTTGATAACAATTTCGAAACCATCACCAAATGATTTAATGAGCTGTTAAGCTGTTTGGGTATATTGAGTTTTACATTAAAGTCCCAATTAACTGTCCACCCATTACCTTTTTCTGCTAGTCTTGCGCTGAGAAAAGTTGTGAGATGCAATTGAAATAGCAATGATAATTTAAAAATCTAGAAAGTAAAGCTTGACTTTTGTTTTACGTGTCCTGATTCGAAAGTAGGACCACATGCTAGGAGAGGACTCTTAGATATTTGACTATTTCTTGTTCATATTGTCTTCCTGTGTTGTACAGATGACACATAACAGTACCTCTATCGTCTGTACTTTCTGCTTCTGTGGTTGTGAGGTTGTCCTAATTGTTGAACAATTAAAAGGCTTCGATGGCTCTACTTTCAATCAACTGTGTGTCTTTGCTTTTGTGCTTTCATCGTGTAAACGAGGGGGGAATACTTCAAATGTTTCTTTGTTGTTGTATCTAATGCAAAGTCTTCATTTCATACTTGGTATATTTGACCAGCTCGATGTGTTTGCTAAGTTAGTTAGAGCTGTCAATAATTAACAACGTAGTCTTCAGGGCTGAACGATTTCCCATCTGGAAAGTCACCTTCACTTGCTACTTATGTGCTATTTAGAGGCCCAGCCTC